ATAAAATGTATATTCTATTTAATTTTATTTTTTTTCAAAAATATTTAAAATTTATAACCATTAATTAAACATCATAGACTTTTTGAAAATTCATTAATTCTTTTTATTAAAATAATGCTATTCCCTAAAAGTTTACAATTGATGTTTATGATTTACTTTCATTTCTTAATTCACATCTAAAAGCTAATGATCAGGTTAATCTTGTCATTAATAAATTTTTCTAAATTAAAAAAGAAAAGAATTTTTGAAAAAGAATTATACTTTCAGTAATGATTTTTTTATGAATATGGAGATGTGTGTAAAAAAAATATTAAAGAAGAACTGAACATAATTTATCAAAATTTTAACAAACAATTGGAATGCTTATCATGTGATATAGAATTACCAATCAAATTAAATGATCATTCTATATATGCAATAATAAATGTGAATCTGAATGAATTTAATTTATTATTTCTGACTTTCTAGATTTAAATGAATTATAAAGTAAAACTAAATTTTAGAGAATTTAATGTGCATTCAAAATAATGAAGTTAAAGATTATTTAGAATTAAGAAAAAAGTAAATTTTGCTTTATTAGTTTTAATTCATTTATAATGAAATTAACATTTTTAAGGAATAAAGTAATAATGATGATATAGTAATTTAAAAGCTAAAATTGATTAAAAACTAATTTGGGCAATTGGTCAATCATATGAAGGATATATTCCATAGTGTTTAGTATACTTTTAATGATTTGCACATATTTCTTAAATTAAAAAAAATAGGAATGATTATATTTCTTTTTGTAAATTAGGATAAACCAGAGCGGGAAAAAGTTGACTTTTAAATTTATTTGATAAACTTGAGAATATTGTGATTTAATTACCTGATTGGAGTACATTGTTTATGCAGTAAATACAGGAATATTGATTATCACGAATGCATGAGAGAAATTAATTAAGTTCAAGAAATTGTGAATAATGATAATTAATTGAATTTTATTGAAACTCATAAATTTGAAGATTTTGATTAAATAATTAAATCATCATTTAGCTTCTGTTGATGTTAAGGCTAGATAATACAAAACAGAATTGATTGGACAACATTTTCTCAAGAATTAAGGAAAAAAAATTTATTATGTTATTCCTTATAAATAGGAAATAATTCTGTATTTGTTAAAAAGATATATAAGAATTCATAAAAAAGTAAAAAAAGATTTAGTGTAAAGTATTAAAATAGATCTTTGAAAAATTGTAATAGTAAATAGAAAGAAGAATTTTTATAAGTTATAAAATAGAAAATTGATTAAAAATATATACATTGAAATATTAGAAGCTCAATTTCATTAAATAACAGTTCTCCAATAATTAGAAATGGAGTACAATTTCATCATATATTGAATCACAAATGCTAATTTGAAAGGGGATGATTCAAAAATATCGGATTGGAAGAAGAAACTAATAGGATTTCAAAATGCTTAGAATTACCTAAAATTAACTTAATTTTAAATTAAAATTAGGCCCTGAAATGTAAATTACTCTTTACAGTGTTTTCAAATAGATAAATAAAATTTATAGCTTTGAAGACTTTTTAGCAAGCATTATAATTCTAAATAAGAAGTTTAGAAGAAATAAAAAAACTCATTTTTATTATAACTTAAAATTTATCTGAATCTAATAATGGATAAATAAATAATTATCCAATATTTATTAAAATTATTTTAAAACAATTAAATCTAGAAATTAAATAATCAATAAATGATTTATTAAATCAACTCAGAGCCATTTAAATTTTATAAGAAATATCTGAATAAAACTAAAACAAAAAAGAAATCTTTAATGTTTGAAATTTTAAAGACAAAAATCAAAAATTTAGAATATATATGTAAAGATGTTGAAGATTGGATTTAAAAGACTTTAAAAAAACAAGAATAAAAAAAACAAAAAGAATGATATCAGGAACATATCTTAATGAAGTTTAGAGAAATGTTTGAAAGCATTCAACTAAAATGAATTAGAAATGATATAAATAAAAAATTAGTTATAAATTAGAAATATATATAATTCTTAAAAATGAATTGTTTTGGGAATTCCTGTATCATTCTTTTTTAATGAGTTAATTTTAAATAAATAGAGTATTTTTTTAAAAGTGAATTTTTCAATAAATTAATTTTTTTTGTATAATAATTTTATAAAATAATGTTTAAACCGAAACCTAAAGAAAAAATGTTCCTCTGTGAATAACACAACAAAAAAATAAAATAATTCTAAATAGAAAGGAAAAAATTATTCTGTAAACAATGTTTAGTTAACAATGATTAGACAATGCAAACTTTTTCTATGTAGATGATTATTGAATTGATTGAAGATAATATTTCAGAGAAATTATAGACTTATTCAACTGCAATAGAGCCATTAATTACATAGATATATAATTTAAAAAAAGAGCTACAAAAATTTCAATCTTACATTCTGAAACAACTTGCAGAATTGACTAAGATTTTAGATGATTGGATTACGGAATTTAAGTAGAATGGAGAAGAAGAGTCTAAGTATTCAATGAAAGATGAATTGGAGAAATTTTTTGAGAATGTAATAAATGAAAAATAATAACATGATTGGAAAGAGGAATCAGTAAAAATCTCAAATTTATCTGGAAAAATCAATAACAATTTTATAGATAAAGTTTAGAAAATTTTGAATAATTTCTAAAATTTTCCTACATAATATTTTTAATCGAATCTAACATTTATAGAAAAGAATTCGAATAATATTTCAGAAATATATGAAAAAAAGGGCTTAAGTTTGGTTCTTTTTGATGATATGTATCAAAAGGAACCTAATTTGAAAGTAGACTTTTTTAGTAGTGATTGTCGCGCAATGGCAATCAATAAAGATAATGATGTTCTAGTATTTGCTGATGGTAAATTATTAAAAGTAATGCAATTAAAAGATAATAGATATAAAAACTAAAACTCAAAATTTCAAGGTATTGAAAACAATCAAGAAATAACAACAACATTAAATTTCTATAAATCAAATAATAATTTAATTTAAGGTTCACAAGACTACACTATTAGAATTTGGGAACCAAATGATTAATTCAACATTTGGACAATTATGAAACATTTAAAAGGTCACTAACATTGGATTAGCTGTTTAGTATTATACTCAGATGATACATTCTTTATAAGTGGTTCAACTGATAATACTATAAGAATTTGGAAGCTAACTGAAGATAAAGAATTTTAGATATTAAAAGAAGACCATAAAAAATCTATTTTTGGATTGTCATTAAATCAAAATAACGATGTTTTAATTTCTTGTGGAGCAGATTAATATATTTGTGTCTTCACAAAAACATAAGAATAATAATAATGGAAAAAGACACAGAAAATTGATTTAGATAAAGAATAATTTGGTTATAGATTATGTTTTATAAACAATGATGTTTTCACTTTTTAGCCACATGAATATAATTCATGTAAAAACAATCAAATTAAATATAACTATATATAAATTTATGAAAAAAAGAATTTGGAAAATAATACTTTTATTTTCGAGAAAAATAATAAAATATAGATCGATATTAAAATTCCAGAGTCAATCTAAAATTGTGATTTTTATTTTCCTTAAATTTACAGATAAGAAATCCTTTTCAATAAATATTAACAAAGTATACAATTAATTTAATTGAATTTTGAATAATAAAATAATTCAAATAAAATTAAGGATATAAAATGTATTTAATAAATTAATTTTGAATAAAATGGAGTTTATGCAAGAATTTATGGAACAATAAGTTAAGATGGAAAATATCTGGTATTATGGGACTATAAATCAAAAAAAATATAAATCTATTCTAAATGTAAAATGTAATGAATTATAAATAAATAAGATAATTTAATAAATTATTTATATATATTCATAATTTAGTTATATTAATAGATATACAATAATAAAAAATAGATTATTCTGAATTTTATTATTAATGAGTAGCTATATATTTTTATAGAATTTTTTCAATTTTTTAAAAATATGTATTTAAGATTTTAAAATATCATATTCTATATAGAAGATTTCAAATATTAAACTTTGATGATTATTGATTATATTTTAAATATATTTTATCTTATTTTAATGAATTTCAAAGACTGCGAATAATTAAAAAATCTAAGAAACATCTATCAACATTAAATAATGATGCCTATCAAAATAGAAAAAAAAGATAATTTTATACTCTACTTTAATTTTAAATAAGATGAAAACAATTTTTGTGAAATGATATCAAAAATAATTCTCAATAAATAGTCAAATGGATTTATTAGTTTTATAGAATTATCTAAATATTTAATTTATTTTTCTGGATTTTTTTAGAAAGAATATAATGTAGAGATTAATTATTAGGAATTAACAAGAATTAAAATATTTTGTTAACATTTCATAAGCTAAGTTAGTGTGAAATAGATATAAATAATTTTACAATTTCCTTTGGAATTTTATACTAAAGAAATAAATTAGTTGACTAACAAATAAATTATGAATCACTTTATCTATTCAATTTTTGATGGATAATTTCCTGAAAAGTCTAATTCAATATTATCTTTATTTGTTTCATCCTAATACGATCATATAATTGGATGTTCATTTAATTAAACATTTATCAATTGTTAAAATCCTTTATTCGATTGTAAATATGAACTAAATGAACATTTAACAAAATAATTATTTTTTGAAATGATTTTAAAAAAAGTGAGGTCATTCAAAAAATCTTTTAAATCTCCACATTTATTTAAAAATATTGGGTATATTTGTCAGATGTATTTATCAAATTAATTATAATTAATTTATGATGAATTCGGAAAGCAATTGAAACTGTTGGAGAAGGATTTGTTTATTTTATTATAATTACCAATAAATATTATAAATATGTAATAGGAAATAAGTCATAAAGAAAAACAATTTTAAGAAAACTTATACATCATACTCATAAAAATTAAATAGATTCTATTTTAATATATTGATAATTTTGAAAATTTATCTACTTAAATTTATAATGTTATAAATGAATGGTAAAACAATATAACAAATTCTCTAATTGAGATTAAAAATGATAACCTTTAGATTAAAGAATTTTTAAATAATTTAACAAAAGAAAATATAAAATTTAATAATAATTCTTAATATTTTTAATATGATTTTTTGTTGTCCAAAGCAGACATCATAGTTTATAACTATTTTTAAAACTATAACGATAAACAAAAACTAATTTCAGACCTTAACTAATTTGATTTATTAATAATTAGCTGGCTAGATTGCTTTAAAGATAATATTGTTTCAAGCATAGCATATTTATTCAAATTGGATTTACTGCCTTAAGAGTAAGAATAAAAAAAAAATTAAACAAGTGTTTTTATTTTGGGACCTACAAGGGTAGGTAAAAGTACATTACTAAACATAATTAATAATTCATTAAATATGAAGATTCATGAAACATAGCATAAAAGCCTCGTTTTTGATGTTAAAGAGGTTTCTGAAAAATTTGAGATCTCTCATGGACTTAATAGTTTAACAGATTGTTTACAGTATTTCCAATTAAAAAATACAAATTTACTATTTTTTGATTCACCAGGTTTTGTAGATACTTAATATGAGAAAAGAATAATTAATTAAATAAAAATATTTTTAAAACTCATAATATAAAATTAAGTAATCTTAATGATATTAATTGATGGACTCGAGCTTTGTGTTAGTAAAAAAAATTTTTCAGAAACTATAAAACTTTTAAATATATTTTTTGGTGATGATTCATTTGATAAGCAAAATTACTTATCAATCATTATTCCAGTGTTTACAAAATTAGAAGAAAATACAATGGATGTCATTAAAAAAAAATGGGATTCAGAAATTATGAAAAACATTCAAAATAATGCTGAAGAAAATATGCTGAAGATCATAAAGAATCAAATTGATAAAAATCGGCACATAAAAATTTATCAAGCTAGTCATTATTAAAATAATAACCTATAAGACTTGAAAAGTAAAAAGAAAGAGAAAGAAACGGAAATGATGGAATTAATTAAATTACAATAATTTGAATAATTTCAAGAATTTGGTATTAATATTAAAAATCTGTAAAATTAAATTGATTATCTTGAAAACAATAGAAATGAAATAATATATAAAGTTAAATTCGAGGAGATATAACAATTAAGAAACAGAATTATTGACATTTGTTAAGAACTAAAAGATGAACAGATAGAAAAATAAATCTAAATTAAATTTTCATTAAAACTAACAGCAGATTTATAAAACCATTTAGATTAAGTCTTAATTCTTTGGAAAAACATTTTTCAATTCATCCTCAAAAATATTGAAAATAGTTTATTAAATATGACTTAAACTCATTTTAATTTTAGAACTTTTTTAACAAGCCTTGACGTATTAGAGAGAAATCTATAATATTTTTAAAAGGAGAATAGGGATTAAAGGCTTTATCGATATTATTATTTTTTTTTTAAATTCTGTATCTATACAAATAACAATTTAATCATTCAAGATTGCTTTAGGCTTCTTTATTTGGTCGATATATTTGACTAATTATCCGGTAAAAAATAATATTGTTATGATATTGATTCATTGTTAAACCATATATATTAACAAGTTATTTACTTAAAAAAGGGCTTTAATAAATAATTATTTAATTTTGATCAAATCGATATGGCAAAAAATCAATAAATATTTAAAGAATTTTAAAATAATTATTCATCAAAAAAATGACTTAAAATAATATTTTATTTTATTTATAATATATAATATTTTTTATTTATGGGTCGTTTTATTATAAAATTTAAATAAATTTATAGGAAAATAGCAGATAATATTAAAATTTAGTAAAATATATAATCCTTAAATAATGACTTTGATATTCGAGAATAGATATCTGTATTTTCTAAAAATCCGAAAATAATTTTTATATTATTATAAAAAATATAGAATATGATGATAATCATGTTCTAATATATTTTTTTCTCATATAATAATAAGACATAAGAAATTTTTCTTTATGATTCTTAAATTAGGAAATATATTTATTTTATCTTTATATATAGTTTTAAATTAGTTTTTTTTTGTGATTATATTCTCGTTATTTATGTAATTCTATTATTTTTTATTTAAAGGATTCTAACTAAAATTCAAAAAATGTAATAATAGTTAGGCAGATAATGTAATTTACACTTAGAAAATTTGAGATTTGTTTATGAAAACTAAATTCCAAACCCATTACAATATGATTCAAATAAAAACACTATTTTCTATTTTAATTTAAGCCAGAATAATTAAATAATAAATGATTGCCGAATTTAAGTTGATAAAATTTAAGAATGGTAAGAAGGGTTTTATGGGTAAGCAAATGTTATTAATTAATCAAATAATTAGCAATCTCTCAACTTTCATTATTTTCATTTATCAATTTTTCCCAAAAATCCTGATAGTATGAACGATTTAGATTTGATAAGAACAAAAATCTTTTTAAAATAATTCATTCATCAGAATAAACCTTAAAAAATGAAATTTGTGATACAAATTTAGAAACCATTAGAAAATTTGGATATATAAGTAGAAGAAATGTTTAAAAAAATGATGAAAAAAATAACTGACGGTTTTTTTTATGAAAAGGATGTTTTGTTTGTATTGGATCTTGAAGAAAGTTAAAAAATTTTTTAAATTTCATAAACAATTGATGATGAATACAAAATTGAAGAAATAAATTAATCTATAATAAACAATTTTGATTAAAATTAGAATTATTTTGGTTATGAAAAGAACAATTTTGAGTCAATTGGTTAAGATTGTAAGGATTTTATAAAAGATTAGATAGATAAATTTCTATAAGAATTTCAAGATTAATTTGTGAATTTATAGCGAGAGATTGATAATTTAATTTTGGAATTACCCACACCAACAAATATGAAAACTAGCTTATCTAAAGACTATGATAGAGCTTAATTTGAAAATAATTTGAAAAATTTAATTGAAAAATTAAATTAACTTACCAAGTAGTCCAAAGAACCTTATTTGTTAAATTAAGAAATTAACAAATTAATTTAGAGATACAAAATTCTTTTTACAACTTCTTTAAGGGAAATCAAACAGACTGAATAAAAATCTAAGAAAAATTAATTTTAGAGTGAAACTTTAACTTATGATTTAGATTTTAATGAATATGATAAAGAAATTCTTGAATATTATGTAGAATACTATCCTTATCATGAAGACTTTAATCAATAAATAAAAATGTTTTAAAATAAATTTCAATAATAATTAATTTCATTTGACGATCGATTGCCACAAAGTTTAAAATATCTAGAACAACTAAAAATAAAATCTTAAAAAGAAATGAAACCAGATCAAACAATCATATGTTTATTGGGTTAAACAAAAGTAGGAAAAAGTACCCTACTTAATTTTATTTTAGACCCAAACAATATTAAAATTGTTTAAACCACTTAAAAGACATTAGTTTTTGAAGCAAAATAACCACATGATTAAATAATAATATCTCATGAATGTAACACACAAACTTTTTCTATATCTGAAATTGAAATAGAAAATTTTATATTTATTGATACTCCTGGGTTTGGAGATACTAATCAAGAAAGAAGATTAATAAATTAAATTAATATCTTTTAAACATTAAAGGCTTCAAAAGAATTTATTTTACTTATTTTATTTGATGTTTAAGAAATGCTGAAAAATAAGAATAGTCTACTAGAAACAATAAATTAGATTTCTTTAAATTTTGGGGATACATTATTAGAATTAGGTTCAAAATTAGAATCAATTATTCTTCCAGCATTTACTAAGTGTAAAAAGGTACAATGAATATAATAAAGGAAAAGTGGGAAAAAGAATTTTTGAAAAACACAACTCATTAATAACTTAATTTTTTAAATATTTTAAGGGATAAAATTGATTCTAATAATTATATAAGGATATATGATGCATCATATTATTAATATGGAAATCAATTGTAAGAATGTTAATTAGATGAAATAAAATCAGAATTAATTAATAAGATGAATAATTTGATAATGGAATAGAGATTTTCAGAGGTAGCAGAAGTTGGAATTAAAATTTAGAATATCGATAAACAACTAGAATAAAAAAATATGGAAGTTTAAGAAAATGAATAAAATATTAATATTCAATTAGTTAAATAACTTCACTCATAAATTCTAAATTAATGTAAATTAGCTAGAGAAACTTAAAAGAATTCCACAATTACAATTCCTTTAGTTTTAAAGCTATCTTTAGAAATGGAAAAACATTTCAAAAAAATATTAAATTATCTAAATGAATTTCATTAATACATAATTGATGATTTAACTAATAACTTCGTCTACCATATGTTACATAATGAAGAAAGTAGTTTAAAGAATGTTATAATCATGCTTGAGGGATCATAATCAATTTATAATTGATCTCTTTTTTTGCTTAGAAAAATATTTTGATTAGCCAAAAGATTTTTATAGTAAGATTATATAAATTTAAAACATTTAAACTTTAATGCTGGTTACTCAATCTACCTATTCAAATAATAAAAAATTAAAGTTTGATAATTTGGAGGAGGAATTATATTTATTTAGAAAGGCTTGTGAAAAAGCTTAGTATAATTTGATAGAATTATAGAAATTTATAAAAAATTTAAAAATAACCAAAAGGAAATCAAAGAAAAAGAGATAATAACAGCTATTTTGATTGCTAATCCAATATCTATCCCTTTTTCACTATCTGTATTGTTAGGAACATATATATATCGCTAGTTTAACAAAAATATATTAACAAATATGAAATAAAAAAAACAATCTTAGATAGAAATTGAGACGATGAAAAAAGAGTATAAGGAGTTAAAGAAATAAAATGAAAAAAATATAAGTAAAGTTTTACATCATTATAATAATATAAGATAAATTTAAACCCCTTCTAAAGTTAGATTATTTATTATGTTTTGAGATTAATTAATTTTAATCTTAAAAGTTTGATTTAATTCTCTTTTTTTTTTTGATTTATTTATTCATTGTTTTTGAGAATTTATTTATTGGCTGACACTTTTGATAAATTTCATTAATAAAAAATATAAATTAATGTAATAAACAAATGATTTACCTGAAACAAATAAATAGCTTATAGGAAATTTGGAAAAGATATTTAAATTTTAAATAAACTTAGATAAAGGAATTGAATAATCCTATTCCTGTATATTTTATTTTAATTTTACAAATAACAAATAAATAAGAATATTTTTGGATGAAAATATTGAAAAAATGATAATTTCTGATTGGAATGAAGGGTTTTTGGGTAAATTAAAGGAGCAAGAAAAATATTTGATCTATTTTGAAGGATTTATTAATGATGATATATTTGATCTAAACTCATTATCGAAAATTAAATTATTTATTAAGAATTTTGTTAAAAAATATTAATTTGAAGAAATTGAGTTTGTAATGCAGTTTGTAGATTTATAAAAAAATGAGGAAATTGAAAATTACAAAGTAAAAATTAAAGATTATATTTAATCGATAATTGATGGATTATTATAACCTTATTCATTTCCAAATAGAACAGAAAAACGAATGAGTTCAAGTTTATTTAAAGAATCAGACACTATTAATATGTTATTTTTTTTGTGTCTATTCACTTCTTTGGATGATAACACTGTCAAAGGGCATTTCTGTAATTAATGGAAGACTAATTTCAATAATCAGGAATTTTAGCTTTAAAATATTGATTCACTATTAATAAAGAATCTATATCATTATAGATCAATTATTAATGGTAAAAGGAATGATTGTTTTAATGAAATTGGATTTTAATGTGTTAAATATATTGAAGAAGAAGTTAAGATTATTTATGAATCTTTTAACAAACAATTGGAAAGCTTTTTATCTGATATATAAAAATTGCTTGAATTGCCAATCAATTTAAATGATGAAATTAGGGAAGATAAAAATATAGAATAGTTCTATACTAAAATAAATAATTTTTTGATATAATTAACAGCCAAATAAATAACATGTTAGATAGAAGAATAAAATTTATTTAGGCTCGCTAAAGATATTATAACGATTAGTTAAGAATATACAACAACTATTTTAGGAAATTTAGAGCAAATTTAAAAGAATGAAGTTAGAAGTTATTTAAATTCGAGAAATAAACAAATTTTAAACTTTTAATTTTAATTCAATCAAAATGATAATAAAATTTTAACATATTTTAAGGAATATAGCCAAAATAATGCTTTACTAGTTTAGCAGCTAAAGTTGATAGAAAAATAATGTCACTAATGGATTGAGTCAAATGAAGAATATATACCATAACGTTTAGCATATATTTCACGATTTGTAAATAATTCACCAAGAACAAATCAACAAAATGATTATATTTCTTTTTGTGTATTAGGATTGACTAGAGTTGGAAAAAGTACGCTTTTAAATTTATTGCATAATCCAAATAATTTAATAGTTGAATTAACTGATTAGAATACCTATGTTTTTAATGCAGTAAATACAGAATTAACGATTAGTAACAAATGCATAAGTGAAACTATTGAAGTTAAAGAAATTTAGAATGAGGATTTCAAATTTACCTTCATAGATACTCCTGGATTTGGAGATACAAAAGGAATTGATTAATAATTAATTAATTAAATCAACATTTTCTCAAGAATTAAGGAACAAAAATTTATTATGATTTTATTCCTTATAGATGGAAATTAACTTTGTAATTGTAAAAAAGACTTATAAGAATCAATATAACACACAAATTACTTTTTTCATAATTAATTAGATGCTAAGACATTAAAATAAATTTTAATACCTGTTTTTACAAAAGTCAATTAAAATATAATGTAAAGTATAAAAAATAAATGGGATTCAGAGATCATGATAAATTGTAATAATAATAATTACGAAATAGAATTTTTAAAAATTATAAAATAAAAAGTTGATGCAAATTAATATGTTGAAATTTTAGAGGCTAAATTTTATTAAAATAATAGTCTCCAATAACTAGAAATGGAGCAAAGGTCCATCACAAAGTAAATTACCGATGCTGCTATCAAAAAGAATTATTCTATCCTTGATGAGCTGGGGGTCAAAAGTACAGAATTGGAAAAGATGATAATTGATCTTTAAAATAACAAAGAAAAAATTTAATATTTTGCTGATATAGATAAAATTACGGAATTAAAAGAATAAATTATTTAAAAATGTGTAGATATTACCTAAAATATAAATCAATAATAGGTTTAACTTAATTTTAAATTAAAATTAGGCCCTGAAATGTAAAATACTCTTTAAAGTGTTTTAAAATAGATAAATAAAATTAATAGCTTTGTTGACTTTTTAGCAAGCAATATAATTATAAATAATTTGATTAATGAACATAGAAGTTTAGAAGAAATAAAGGAACTCATTCTTAAAATAACTTAAAATTTATCTGAATTAAATAAAGGAAATTTAAATGAGCTAGAATTTATTAAAATTATATTTAAACAATTAAATCTAGAAATTAAATAACCAATAAATGATTTATTAGATTAACTCAGAGCCATTTAAATATTAGAAGAAATATCTGAACAAAATTTAAATAAAAAGGAATCTATAGACTTTGAAATTTTAAAGAAAATAATCAAAAAATTAGAAAATGCTTGTGAGGAAATTGAAAATTGGATTAAGGATACAAATAAAAATAAGGAAAAATATAGACTATTGTTGTGGGGTGGAAGTGGAGCACTCATAACTGCTGCAGAAATAGGAGCTTGTGCATTGATTAGTGCTCCTTTATTAGCAGTAGTTGGACCATTAATTATATTTGGGGGTATTTATCGATCTAAAGCTAAGACTAAAAAGCAAGAGAAAAATGAAAAATAATAATATTAGGATTATATTTTAAAAATGTTAAGAGAAGTATTTGAAAAAGAGTAACAGAAGTGATAAAACATAAAAAATTAAATAATATAATAGATTTTATTAATAATAATATAATGATTTTCCTGTTTTCATTTTAATTTTCTCAACAAAGAATTAGTTCCTTGTTTATTGTTTTATTTAGATATAATTATTTATTTTAATAATAAAAGTTAAATTCATTCGTTAAAATTTTAATAATTTTATGATTTTAAATTTATTAATATTTAAATATAAATTGAATAAATACAAGAATATAACAATTAGTATCAAAAGTTAAATTGCAAAATAACAAATATAAAAAAATTATTATTTCTATTAATTTATAATAAATTTATTATATAAAAAACATAATTATTAGAATAAAAATCATTTTTTCTATTTCTTGAACAGTTTATCAATTATTTTTTCTTTTTGTATATAATAAAATAAAAATAAAGCAGAAGAACACAACGATTCCTTGAAAATTAAATGTTGATTTTTGATCAAAAATCATAGTTTAAACTATGAGATTGTTAATATCATTTTATAATAATAAAGTTGGTGATGAATTGCATTCTTTAATCTATTTTATTTAATATTTGGATAATTAAATGAAATTAATTTGCAGAGCATCATTTTCAAATTAAATGATTACATGATGGGTTAAATTGTGCTTCTCAATTAAAGTATAATTTTAATCCTTAACTTAATAAATAGAATCATGATAAGTTTTTTATAAAATTAGACTTAATTCGTAAAAAATTAATAATGGTTTTGATTTATCTAATACTTTAATAACCATGAAATATTCATCAAGATATAGCAGGGTTTCAAATTTTGATGATTCAATATATCTAAATATTGAGGAAATATATGATTTTTATAGAATTTATTTCATAATATCAAAATGAAGTTCGATAGAAAAAGCAAAAAATTCAGTAAAGAATAAAAATGCCTTAACTTAAAGTAAATTTAAATTAATATCAGCAAATGTTATTTTTATGTACTTCAATTCTAAAGTAAAATCATTGGAATAATAATCTAACAACATCTATGAAATATTTAATTAAAAATAAAATAGTGTAGTTTGCTTCATTTATTAATTTTAGTAATTATAGGAATGAATAACTAATTCTAATTAAAAATTATTAGCAGCAATAAATAAATATGTACCGTTTCTAATAAAATATCCATCTAGGGTAAAATAAATAGAATATAATTTTAACTCTATAAGTTTATCATATTATAAAAATATCAAAAATCTTTCAAAGAGATCATTAACTATAATGATTAAGCCTTTAATATTTAAAACCTCAATAATCCCTATATCTAAGATATAATTAATAATTACTTTAAATTTCAATTAAAGAAGTAGTTTCCTTTATTTAATTGAATGATTCATTACCAGCATTCATTTTATCAAATTAAAGTTTTAAGATTTTCATTTTTTTCTCAATTAAGTTTCCAACTATTTCAATAATAAGATATGCTTCAAGCATTTAATCAAAAAAGATTTTGCAGTGATTATCTAAACTAATTGCTATTTAAAATTATTGAGTTATATTGAAATAGATTTAATGAAAAGTAAAATCAAATTGGATACACAAATTATTTTTATATAACAAACAATAAATTTTATCATTTGTTTAAAATAATGTAAAGGGAGGAATTATTATGAACTAATCCTTCTCTAATACTTCTATTTCATTGATTTTTCCATAAATATTAATAAGCTCTATATATCCGTATGAATCAATTTTTACAAAATCATCTTTTAAAAGAAACAAAGATTAATTCATATTTATAAACTTTTAAGTAAATTTTATTTATTCTAATTATTTTAATTTTTTTAATGATGGTTTTAAAGTTAAATCATATGTGAATTAACTTATGAAATGATTATGTGTGTAATAAGGATAATGTTCAAATTATAAGCATATTTAATTTATATTTTAAATTACTATAGAACCATTTTAGATGAAAAAAAAATCAAACTTCGAATTAATAAAACCAAAGAATTAATGGTCTTTGTCAATTCTTATAATCTAAACTAAAGATTTGATTGAAGTACTACTGCAATTATAAATTAATAAAAAGTCATTTTCTTATTTATTCTAAGCTAATACCAACAAAAATAATTCTTAATAATCGTAATTAATAGGAAATTTAATTTAAAATTCATATAGTGGTAAATTATAAAGTTTGGTTGATTCATTTAAATAAGAATAATACAATGAAATATCAATATTTTCTTAATTTTGTGAAAATATGACGAAATACATAATATTACCTAAATTTATAGACTAATAAAAAGAACCTACTTATAAGATTTTGTGTGGCTATTTGAGCATTGTTATGATTTTACCATCTCTAAACTAAATTATCGAATCAAAAGTTATTACATGATTCAGATTCACAATATATTGAATTTCACTACAAATATGATAATTGATGTCCAAATTTATTAAGGTAGATTTGAAATCATTGAATTTTAACTAAATTAATTTACAATTATCTAAAATTAAAATTATTTCGTTTTTATAAATCAATGTCTTATTTATCTTCTCTTTTATTGAAATTGATTTATGAGATAGGCTTAAATCATTAAATTAGTAAAATTAAAATTCTTTTGGATATATTATACAAAAAGATAAATATTCGGAACTCGTTACTGTTTTAACATAATTTATATGAATAGGTATTATAAATCTGTTTATTAATAATCCTTAAAAACAAATATAGATATTAATTTTCTAAGAATTTTCAAGAATTAGTATCTATCGTTGATCTTTATCCTCAATTAACCATAAATTCTTATAAAGGATATTGTTATTATATTTGCATGAAAATCCTTAAGTTTAATATTAATATTTAACATTTCTCTCATCTATTTTAATATTTGTTATCTCAAAAGGAATTGATTCTTAAATTTAATTTATATAGAAACATAATTTGTTTTGTAAATTTCTAATTTTAAAGTTAATTTTTTAATTATTTATTAGAAATGGAGGATTATTTTAATCATATTCTTCAATCTTAATTACAGTATAATTTCCTTCTGTTTAATAAAAATCATAAATTTACCTTTTGACAATATAATTTGAAGTAGAGTTAAAATTTGAGAAATAAAATTATTCATTGACTAATTTATAAATTTACAATTCCCCTTAGATGTTTAATAAAGCAAAATAGTGTAAATCTCCAACTGGAATGATAGCTTAAATTTAAATCTACCATTTGTTTGAAAATTTCTGACTAAAAAAGATTTATAATTCTTGTTTTGAATAGATTATTAATTTATTATTTACTAAAATTGAATCTTCATACCCATCAATAACAACATTAAGAAGTCGGTTTTTAAATAACCCTTAAATAATTGAATAAAATACAATATCCTTCATTAGTACGTTATAGATTTTGGCTTTTCTAACAAAAATCAAAAGTTTTAATAGTCTTTTTAAATGTTTGGTTTTCTTTATATATGTATATACAGTCTAAAATCATGTTTTTACACAAAAATTTGTTGTACTAAAATTATATAATTAAATTTGTAAAAACGCAAATTTATATTGAGATTAATTACCCTAGTTCTTTGAATTCATTTTATTCAAGTTATAAAAGGGATTATATAGAGTTATTATAATATAATTTTATATCTTCATTTTAAATTTTGAAGATATGAATTAAAGTCATATTGCAATTTGTTTAATAAATAATAATATTTTCATCTTAATTAATTAAATGATATTTGCAATTTAAAGTTTGTTCTGATACTTCTAGTTCATATTTATTAATTACTTAGTTTTAGAAATTTTACAATAAAAGAGTCATTATTTTTGAATGTTGAAAGCATAATATAATAAGTCTATTATTTGAAATTTAATAAACCTAGGAACAATTCTCTAGTTAAAATTTAAAATTAATTGTGCAATTTTAATAACTTAATTCCCCATCGATTAAATATGTATTAATTTAAATTATACATATCATTTCATTGTTATTTATTGTCATAATTGCTAATTGATCATTATCATTAATAATTATAGATTGTATATTTGTAATAGAAAATTAATTTCTAATTATAATAGTGTCTTTTAATTCAATTAATGGAAACTCAATGGAATCAAGATATTGAATATTTTGATAATTATTAAGTGGAAATACAATAATTTGATTAAGAGAGAATACCTTTTCATTTTCTAGTAGTATAGCCTTTTAAATTGAGATTAACTCTGCAATAGTAAATGTTACATAATAAGTTATCATAAAGAGTGAATTCATAATTAATAAATTTTAATTATTATTATTTATTATAATATATTTAACTTTTATAGAGTTTAATAAAAAAAGTATAAAGTAAATGTATAAAAATGGTAATTCTTTTTAGAATGAAGTATTTAATTAAAATTAACGAAGATAACTTGAATATTAAATAATTTGTTTAAATTATATAGGTATATATATAAAGTCACTCTTTTTTTATGGTTGAGATTGAGGAATTACTTCTAAAAAATAAATTATGTATTTAATCAGTTTAGGCTTATAGAAGTTCTGTAGGTGCTTCAATTAGAAATTAAGCAATATGATTTGGAGTGTTTATATCATCTAATTGATATTGAAGTTTTAGAGTATTAAAAGTTTTGGTTCTTGATTGTTTATTTTCATCGAAAATTCTATTGACTGTCATACAAATAATAAGGTAGAGTTTTAATCTAGCAAAAAATTTCAGATCTTGAGATTCTCTTTCATCTTCTATCATTTATTCTAATTCATAATAGCAGAATTGTAGACATCTTCTATATGGAATTCTAAATTATTCAAATTAATCATATTCTGAAGTCTAAATTAATAATATTATATACATCTTGAAAAAATCCATGATGTTACAATTCTTTTTATAATTAAGTTTCAAAAATAGATAAACCTAATTAATTTTGTTTAATTTAACTAGAGAGTTTCTCATGCTAAAGGGTATCAAATTACAATGAATAATTAATTTCATTCAAATGTTATTTTAATTATTTAGAATTCGCTAGGAATTGATCCCATTCAAATTGTTATACATGAAAAATATTGATTGATTATTATATTTCTTTAAGAAATTATTTTTTGATAATTATAAGCATAGTTTAAAGAGCATATTATCCCCAAATAATAAAAGGCATTTAAAACATTAATCTCATACATTTAATTGCATTTTCCATTAGATGGAATTTAAAATATTAGAAATGCATTTCTTTCCATATTTTTGGATAAAGCTATTTTTCCTATAAATTAAATAAATATTTAAATACCAATTCAGATTTATTGTATAGTATCATGAAATTAGGATCAGGATCAGGATCAATAGTATCAATATTAGCAGAGATGGGATTCAAATGTTTGACAACTGAGATACTTGATTTACCATTGAATTCTTTAACCTAAGAAAATTATATTTAATAATACAATAGCCCATTCAACATTAAATTATTCACGCTCTCTAATTAGATGTAGTATCGTAAATAGATTACATTAAGACTTATAGTATTGTCTTAAATAGTTATTTTCATTCACACATTTGTAAATACTATGTAATTCTCCAAATCTTAATCGATTGCAATCTTATGGATTCAACATCTTAAGGACTAGAGATACAAGAGATTTAGGAAGTTTTTTCTTATCTATTCTTTGGTAAAATTAATTGTATTCTTCGTATGAATTAAAGTTCTGAAGAATTTCATTTGTTGATAATTAATATATAAGGCATCCAAGCAACCACATATCTATTCCTATTGAATAAGTTCCTTGTTTCAAAAATTCAGGAGGTTTAAGTTAAAGGTCACTATAATAGCCAAAATTTGATAAGGTTATTTTATTACTGTCATAATAAATGTTAAAAATCGAAAAACATCTACCAAGAACTCCTTACTTATGGATTTCATAAAGAGCGAGTAATAATTAATTAAATAAGGAAGTGATTTCTTGTTCTGATAATACAATTTTCTATCGAATCCAATAATCAAGAGTTGTACCCTTAGGTTTTGAAAATTAATAAATTTGATCATATTCTTTTAAGCAAGGGTCTCTAAGATATTCTCCAGTAACATTCTTTTCTATTTAAAAGGATTAGTATAATTGTTCATAGATAACTCTTACTACAAGTCTCTCATTACCATTAATTTATTATTCTGTTAAAAGAGCTTTTGTTCTAAAATTACATTCAATCTCTTCTAGCATTATTATTATTATAACTAAATCTAAAATAAAAATCTCGAATTTAAACTCTATACTTAAAGATTATGCAATAATCAATAATAAGATATTAAAACAATACTCAAATAATTTATATCAGTATCAATCTATATTAATAATTCTAATTATAGCGGCTTCATTTGCATTTAATGACTTAATTCTTGATAAATGCAATATAAGATGTGTTTAAAGATTGAAAATAAAATATAGTAATTAGATATAGTTTCTATATCAATGTGAATGAATGATTATATAAAGATTAAATAAAATTAAACCAAAAAAAAAGTATAAAATTTTACATAAAAATATTTTTATTATTCGTTAATGCATAAGTAACCTCTCAAATTTATATAAACTCCATCCACATAATAATGTGTGACTAGAACTCCTGAAAAAGTACTTAATACATCCCCATACAGAGGATACAGTGTAAAATAGATTGGTTTATTATTGATTAGTATAGTGACAAATAGTCAATGACACCAATCAAATAAAACATAGGATACCCTTAAGTTTAATAAACAATAAATTAAAATTATTAGCCTTAATATCCTTATTATGAAAATGCAGTTCCCTTTATATAAGAATCAAAAGAACAATTACTATAAAGGATTGATAATATGGATAAAAATATGAGAGTGATTAATTAAAAATATGAACAATTAAAAGAAGAATTAGAAAAAGAAAGAAGCAGAACATTTGATATTGATTAATAATACTCTTAATTATTTTAAAGATATTAAGAGTAAATATTGTTATATTATAAAGACTAGTTAAGAGAAGGAATTAAAAAAGCAAGAATAAATTGTTAAATCTATTGAAAATATGTACAAATAAGCATAAAGAGATATTTAAGAATATTAAACAGTCCAGGAGAAGTTCTAAAAATTGTTGAAATAAAAAGAAAAAGAAATTAATGATTTTAAATTAAAGTTGGTAGAAGAAAAGAATCTAAGAGTTAATGAGAATGAAAGATTGGTTTAAGAATTCACTTTAACTTATAAAGATTTATGTTTATTGAATAATTAACTGATTGAAGAAAATAATTAACTGAAGACAATAATCTTGGACCCTGATAATTAATAATATTCATTATCTTCTAAAAAATAATCAGAATAGAATTTTCAAACAAATACTGATGTCTTAGATGATCCAGAATTAAAATAAATTGTCTAATAATACCTTAAAAATGATGATGATTAATAATATTTAAATTTGATACCAAAGAAATAACTTAGAACAGCTATTACTATGATAAAAGAGATATTATAATCCATTACTTCAAAGAAACTAGGGGCAATTAAATCTTCATAATTTCAACAGCCTAAGTAAATTAATGAAGAGATTGAAACAAATTTATAGTAAGCAAGAAAGTAGAAAGAATTCCTTATAAAAGAGATAAAACAAAAAATGGATAAGATCATTAAATCAAAAGTAAATAATTCTTAATATGCAATAAGGAATTTAATATGATGGAATTCAATGAACTATAAAGAGAGATTGATGAACTTAAAAAGGAAGTAAGTAGTGTAGAGAATTTGATTCAATAAATGGAATAATCATTAATTTAGAATCCACATCGAAATAGTTGTGTTTCATTTGATAATGAAGAATTTAAATGATTTACTAAAATAATTCTATCTATATATTTCTAATTTAGATATAATTTAGATATTTATATGTTTATTCTATTTGAAAAAAATTGATAATATTAAAAATGAATCAATATAGGCTGATATTCAATGAGGAAAAGCTTGAAGAATCCTATAAATAGCTTGAATTGAAGAATACAACAGATGAATATATGGTAATACTCTCATATTATATGAAGGAATATAAATGTAAAAGAATGAACAACAATTACAACTACATAGTTAGAAGATTCACTTAACATGATATAAACAACGAGAAATTCCTAAATGTAAGAAGAATTAAACTATACAACATATTACCAGTTCTGGATTTGTTTTAATAAGATAATGCTTTGGCAAGTCTAGATTATGAATCATACTCTTTATAGAGTAATATAGACCATATGGATTAGGTAGAGAAAATATATGTGGCCTCATTAGTAGGGATAAGTAATAAGTTATTGATTATTAAAAGCTTTGTAAGAACTTTGTAAAAGAAAATTACCATTCTTAATAAATGCTTAAAGAGTTATCATAATAGGAAGTCATGTGTGTTTTCAATAGATTGACTTCTAATCTAATAAAACGGTCACTGCAGAAGAGTCCTTTAAGAGTTATTTAGATTTAAGTAATCCAATTATAATAAGTATATTATAGTTGATTAAATGGGACTAACATCAGAGGGAGATGATTTTAACACAGTGATAGACAGCTTTTTGGAATAATAGGATGTGAATATAGGTCTAACTGAAGAACTTCCTTATGTTGAACTTTTATATAAGATGTTTTAATTCTAGAATGAAAAAAGTATTGTTAGTTATTAAGCTAATTCATTTGTTTATGTATTTGACACTCCTGAATTCTTAAAAACAGTTCCTGGAATTAGTAGCAGAACTGTAATGAAATCAGCAAAATTAGATATAGGAGAAAATTTAGATTATTTAATTTTATGTTCTTAAAGAGAATTAGAATTTATGGAGAATTTTAAAAAATATGAACCTTTTGCTTGTTGTTTTGCTTATTTTAGAATTTAGAATTAATTGTATTTATTTATGGAACTCTATCCAACAGATTTAGAGAATGTGTTTAAGAAGCATGAAGAAATATATGATAGAAATTTGAAAGATTTATGTTGTTAATTAGCATTTGGTATATATGAATAATAAAAATAGCTATTCGTTAATTACATAGACATTAAATATTACATAGAGATTTGAAGCCTGCAAATCTTTTTTTAAGTCATGAAGATTTAGATAGAGCATAATTAAAAATAGCAGACTTTGATCATTCAACAGTAATTGATGAAAAAATAGACGGTTGTATTCAAGAAAGGACTGGTTTAACATCTTCTACAGGTTATGAACCACCTGAGACTGGTCTTATAAATTATACATACACTTCTGATATTTGGTAAATTGGAATGATTTGTAAGATTAATATATATAGTTTTAGTTTATTAAATTGCTAATTAAGGTGAATATCCAATTGAACATCCTTCACTTTATTGGACTGAATAAAGATATTCAGAAGAATGTGCTTATGAGAAAATCAAAGAAACTTTAGCTAATAAAAATGTTGATGATAACTTTATTAGATTAATTGCTGATTGTCTCTCTTATGATCCAAAACTTAGACCTACTTCTGATACACTTATCACTCGTTTAGAATAATGTTTTGAAGATTTTGAATTTGATAATGAGGAGACTTTGTAGAGTACTCACTAATTCAGTTTGATAGAATCATTTGGTCAATTATTATCCAAATCCTAACCAATAAGATTAATAAAAAGTGGATATTTATGATTTATATATCATATTCTAATTATAAAAATAATTATTATAAATATATATAAATATATCACTACTTTCTTAAAAGATTTGAAGTTAAACTTAATACAATAATAATAATTCCAATCCAACTGAGAATTTGGATATCTTATTTTAATACAAAAATATCCAATAAAATATTAAATATAATTTATGATTCTCCAATAAGTGATTACTATGTAACATTTCCAATCATAACAGATCTATTCATACATAATTATCCTAAACATCCTAAAAATCCACTTATCAATAATAAAATGGCTTCTTAAAATGATACAATTCTAAATGGTTCAAATGTATAGAGTAATTAACATAAAATTGAAGAAATAATACCAAAAAATGAGAAATATTGTAAAATAGCTAAAGAGCTTACTTCTTATGAAAGAGAATTGATTAATACTTAAGCAAATGAAGTACTAACTGCAGTAAGAAGTGCTAAACATAATCCAAAGAAATTAAGGTAAGTAAATTCATCATTATATTAATTAAACAAGATTGGAGGTCTTGATATCAATATAACACCTAAAAGACAAAAAAGGATTTCAAGTATCGTTCTTTTAGTAATAACTTCTTTTTTTAAGATATATGCTAAAATAAATGTTGTCCATAAAGGATTGGTTTTCATCAAAATTACTGCCTCAGAGACAGTAACTAATTTTAATGATAGAAAACAAGAAAGGAATCCAACACCTCCTATACAACCTCTCGTAATTAGTTTTTTAATTATTCTATTTGATGGAGGATATGTATTATTAGGAATAAATCTTGCCAAAATTTCAATTACAATCAACGTTAAAATAGATCTCCAATAGATAATTTATGTAGCAGGTATTCCATCAAAATATTTAATACTGAAAGAGTTCAATGCAAAAAATATGCTAGACAAAGTAGTATAGATAGATGGTGAAGCCAGTGGATATTGCATTTCAATCTTATATACAATTTTCATCATTATTTAAAAAAAATATAATTATAATTAAAATTGTAAAAGAATTAAGATCATTTTCTATTTTTTTTTTTAATATTGGAGACCAGACTTATAGCTATCATAAATATTCCAATAGAACTCATGATTCCAAGGTTATGTTTCATAATAATGACATCTAGTAAAATATTAAATACAATTTAAGACTATCCAACTAATGACATTTGTGTAACATCTCCAATCATCATTGATCTATTCATAAATAATTATGCCAAACAACCCAAAAATCCACTTATAATCATTAGACACATTTCATTTACATTTAAATTATGAAATTATTCAAAAGGAGAATAAAATTAATATATTGAAGCCATAGTAATTCCAAATAAAGAAAAGTATTATAATATAACTAATTAATGTGCTTCTTTTGAAAGTGAACTTATAAGTACTTATGTTATTGAAGTAGTTAAAGCAGTTAATAATGATAGACACAAACCTATAAAATATAAGTAAGTAAATTCTAATTCAATAATTTCATAACCAATCATTTACATTATTATAGGTGGTTTTGCTATTAATATTACACCTATTAGACATAATAATATTTCTATCATTGATTTTATTGTCATCTTCTCTGTTTTATATATGTAGACTACTAATAAAGTTGTCCATAAGGGATTTGTTTTCATCAAAACTACTGCTTCAGAAACTGTTGTTAATTTTAATGCAAGAAAGAATGAAATAAATCCAATTCCCCCAAAAAGTCCTCTTCCTATCAATTTTATTAGTGTTCCTCTACTTTAAGGATATGATTAACAAGGGAACATTTAAATCAATATTTAAAGTATAATTAGAGTTAATACAGATCTCCAAACTATTATTTAACTAGCAGGAATTCCTTCAAAAAATTTGATACTAAATGTATGCAAAGCAAATGTTAAACTTGACATCAATTAGTAGAAGGTTGGAACACCAACTGGATATTCTTTCTCTAATACTTTTAGATGTTGTGTCAAAGCAATAAGCAAATTTGCCATATTTATATTTTATTAGACATAAATAATTCTTATCAAAAATCACTTCTTCTATATTATATTTTTAAAATACACCAAAATCATTCAAATAAATATTCAATTATTCATTTCAATCATCTAATTCAAATTCAATGAGATTATCCCCAAAAATATTGTTCTCTTCATAAATATGAAACAATCAAGAAAACTACTGAACATTAGAACCAATACAATCCTAAGCAGAATTCCACCATATAAATATTCCAAAAGAGTATAATTTCTATTGTTCATCAAAAATTAATCTTATACTACTTTTTACAAAAAAAAGTTATATTAGAATACTTGATGATCAACACTTCTTATTATGCTGCCATCAATATCAATTAATAATAATGATAACATTATCATTCATAATTTTTATTATTAAAAATGTTAAACAAATATCCGAGTCACTGGAATTAAAATAAATAATTTCACATTCAATTCATTAAGCATAAAAAATAAACTATCCAAAAATTAGTATATCGTTGGAATCAAAGTTTTATATCCTTTTTCAAATTATCAAACTATTTAATAATGGAGTTTGCCATTCCATAATTTTTTTAATAATTAAAAAACTTAATTAACTTGAGTAATTTTCTTTAGTTATTATATTTTTTCAAATAATCAATTTAATCTATATATTTATATAATCAATCTAATCTATATATACATAATCAATCTAATCAATTCATCAATTTTTATTTTTGTACAAATTCTGAAATACCCTCCAATCTAGGAATTTTAAGGTTTTAAAAATAAAATTTACATTGATTAACTTAAAGTTTAGACACTAAACATAAAATATATATATAAACATCTTCTTTTTAATGCAACTTATAAAAATTCTAGGAAGATCTGTTTTTATTTTCATATATATTATTAATTGCTGATGGGAAATAGTTCCAGACATTAAAATGATTAGGGAAATCAAACTTAATAATTAGGGAGACAATGTGATAAAGTAGAAGATGAATTGAGTAAATATATAGCGTAGAGTATGTTTAAATATGAGTTTAGATTGTTCAATATTGCCATCATCAATAAAGTAAAACCCTGAGTTTAAAGGATAAAGATTGAATTGTATAAGGTGTTAGTGTTTATTGTTTGATGATGGATTGGGAAGAACGAATAAATGTGAAGAATGTGAAATTGTGTATGTGATAAAAGATGGAGTGATGAGTGTTTTGAATCAGAGTTAAGATGTTAAATGCTGTTCATATAGTTTCCCTTTATAATATTTAGATTCTGTTGTATTGCGTGTGAATCAGTATTTGAGGTTATTATAATTTGTAGGAGCTGTATTAATCATATTTCTTATGCCGAGTTGATGACTCAAATAATATTACCTTTTTTTGGGATCAGAGAAAGAGTAATAACATGTGGGGCTTGCTTCAATATTGATTAGTTTGAATTCAGAGTGGTTGGATGTGGATCATAACTTTAAGGCATTGTGGGATGTAGTACAAAGATCTAATGTTATGAATCATATACGGATAGAATTTTGTACAAATTGAAAATATATACATAAAGAAAAAACTTTTAAGATGAACTATTTCATTACTTTCATTCTCATCCGAAAGAAAATCAATTGATTTAGGGTAAGAAATTGAAGTAATGTAGATTCATATATAAAAATAAATAATCAGGAATATTTTGTATTATAATGCACAGAGTAATCAGGTAGATTACACTAATATACAAAAATAGAATGTTTATAAAATGTACCAAGATTGGGTTAGGTTTAAATTATTATACTGAAGTAACCAATAGAATTCTCTCGTTGTAATAGGAATTAGGCAATTTAATAAATGAAAAAATACTTGATTGAACCATATTTTGGAGGATTGACTCGATATTTAGAGAGAGGATAAATTTTGAGAATAGGAGATTTCATTTTTGAAGTATGTTTAGATGAAGAATATGGATTTGTGATTCCCCATTAGACATAAATCCATATAACAGATTAAGTTGATTAAAGAATGAATCTTTAGTAAGTCTAACCAATTTAAAACTACAATATTATAAGCAGATCTATTAATAATTAGAATAATAGTAGTAGATAAGATTAGATAGAATCATTACATAGATTATTAAATACATTTATATAGCTTAATGAAAATGGAACAATTGAAGGCAATGTTGGATGTGAAGAACATGAAATATAGTAATTACCAGTAAGAAAGATTAATTTGGAATAAATCAAACAATTAGATGAAGATTATATGAAATGTTTAATATGTTTATGTGAGTATGAAGAAGAAGATTTAGTTAAGACTATTCCTTGCTGTATAAATTTGATAATATTATATATAGTACATTATTTTCATGATGATTGTATTGAGAAATGGTTAAAGAGAAGTAGACATTGTCCTATATGCAAGAATGAATTAGAAATTTGAATATTTTTACTTAAATTATGATTAAAATGAGAGTGATTAGAATTCTAATGACTTCAAAGTTATTGAATATTTATTATCAAATTAAATTTAATTAATGGGCAAACATAGAAATAAAAATTAGAGTAAATATGAGAATGCTCCATAGAAGAAAGTGAAGACAAATCATTGGGATTAAGACAATCAATAAATTTGCGTAGTATAATTTGAGAATCCAATATTTCGTCGTTTTTATGAGGTATAACTATATATATATATTAGATTCAATTACCAGAGATAAATAAAGAAGAATTTAAGATATTTTGGTAATCATTATCTCTTCCATTGCCAGTAACATTTAGAATAAATTAATCCTAATATAAATACGAGAGTTTGATTGAAAGATTGAAAGATGGTTCATTAATAAAAGATATGGTGAATGAAGAAGAAATAATAGATCCAATAAGAGAGATTACATGGTATCCAAATAATTTGGTTTGGGAATCAAAGGTGGCAAAGAAAAGTTTGAGAAAATCAGCAGCATTAACAAAATTACATTAATTTATATAAAAGTGTAGTTCAACAGGATTATTGACAAGATAAGAATTAGTATCAATGCTTCCTCCATTATTATTAAATCCTAAAGATACAGATTTTGTATTAGATATGTGTGCAGCACCAGGATCAAAAACATGTTAATTATTAGAAGTAGTAACAAAAGGTTTAATAGTTGCAAATGATGTTGATCCAAAAAGAGCATATATGTTATCACATTAATTATCACGTATGCCAACTGCATAAGTTATGATTACTAACTATGCAGCATAATTTTATCCATCTTTATATATTAATGGATAGAGATTATAATTTGATAAAGTATTATGTGATGTTCCATGTACAGGAGATGGTGCTGCACGTAAATTACCTACTAGATGGGTTAAATGGTCAGCAAGAGATGGAAATGTTATACATCCATTATAATTAAGTATTTTAATGAGATCACTTTAATTATGTAAAATTGGAGGATATGTTATGTATAGTACTTGTTCACTTAATCCTATTGAAAATGAAGCTGTTGTTTCAGAAGTATTTAGAAGAGCTGGATTTGATGCTTTTGAATTAATTGATTTACATACATTATAAGGATTTTAAACTAGAAAAGGAATTAAAAATTGGAAAGTTATTTTAACTGATGATTTTCTTACTTAAAAATATCTTTAAAGATAATCTAATACTGATTAAGATGAAAAAGATTTCTTAGAAACAGTCTAAGAAGATGATTTAGTCTATGAAATTCATAATATTAATTAGAAACTTAATATTAAAAAACTCTTTTCTAAATTCTCAAGAAAATAAGAAGGTTAATTAATTAATGCATTTAAAACTTTAAAACCATCTTTATGGCCTGATACTGAAGATTTTATGAATTAAATTGGTATAGAAAAAACAATGAGAGTATTACCTCATGATTAAGATACAGGTGGTTTTTATTTGGCATTATTTAAAAAAAAATAAGCAGTTATTTGGAAAAAACCTAAGTATCAAGAATCTATTATATCTTAATAAGTTATTTAAGAAAATAAATCAGAATCAATTTAAGTAGAAGAACAAATTATTATTAATAAACCATAAGAATTAGAATAAATTTAATAGAATGAAACACCTTAATAATAATAATTATAAATTTAAGATATCTAAAAGAAAGACATTGTAGAATAATAAGATATACAATAAGATAATTAAGATATTCAATAAGAATAATTTATCTAAGATTGTGATATTAATCAAGATGATCTTAAAGATATCTTAAAATAAAGTAATGAATAAGATGAGAAATAATAAAATGTTAAAAATAAAACTCAACTTCTTGAACCTTATACTCCAATAAATGATTATGATTGGAAAGTGATTTGTGATTATTATGGAATTAGTGGATTTCCATAAGGATAAGTTCTAGGTACTGGATAATCTCTAGATATCATTATGCAAGTTAATAAAAAATTTAGATATGTTAGTGAAGATGTTAAAAACATATTGTTTGATCCAAAAAATTGTAATAATAAATATTCATATTTTTAGAAAATCTTAAACTAATAAATATTGGTCAAAAATTATTCGAAAGAGGTAAAGAAAGCTTTGGTGGATAGGTTACTCCATTTAAAATAACTCAAGAAGGATTACCTTATATTTTTAAATATTTAACTAAAAGAATTGTTGAATGTAATAAGGAATAATTTATGGAAATTCTATAAAAACGAAACATTAGAATGGGAGATTTTGGTCATGAAGTATTAAAGAAATAATTTGAAGAACTTATTTAAGGATGTTTTGTTCTTTATTATAAAGAGACTCCAGAAATAAGTGAAGCTATTGTTTGTTAATATTACAAACAAAGTGTTAATTTAATGTGTAGCACTGAAAATATAGAAAACATTCTTATCAGACATAGATTAATGTGATTTATATTAAAAAAATATATATATTTATTAATTAATGGCTCTTAAGAGAATTCAAAAGGAGTTAGCTGACTTAGCCAAAGATCCTCCAGCAAATTGTTCTGCTGGACCAGTAGATGATAAAGATAACTTTCATTGGTAAGCAACTATTATGGGACCAGAAGGCTCACCATATTAAGGAGGAGTCTTTTTCTTAAATATTCACTTTCCTACAGATTATCCATTTAAACCTCCTAAAATTAACTTTGTTACTCGAATTTATCATCCTAATATTAATTAAAATGGAGCCATTTGTCTAGACATATTAAAAGATCAATGGTCACCTGCCCTCACTATTAGCAAAGGTATTTAAAATACATTATAGAATTAATAGTATTGCTCAGTATTTCCTCACTTTTAACAGATCCAAATCCAGATGATCCTCTTGTTCCTGAAATTGCAAGCATTTTCAAATAAGATAAAAACAAATATGAACAATTAGCAAGGGAGTATACCAAAAAACATGCATAATGATATTATGAATTCATTAAATAAAAATATATATATATATTTATTCATTTTTATATATATATCATATAAGTAAAAATTTTATGAAAATTCATAAATGTATTTCGTATGAACCTTATTATTATTTACGAGCTCTTAAGTAACTCCTTAATTACTCATAATTAATATCATCTTCATTAACCTTCCTTAATAATCTTAACTCTTGTTAATAAAGAGTGTTCTTATTCTTTAAAATACCTTTCTTTATTGTTTATTGACTAGTTTATGATAACTCTGAAGTCAATTTGTTAGCCTATTCACTCTGATTTGATTATATCGTACTCTTAAACTAAAGCTCTAAAGTTTAAATGAAATTGCATGACAGAATATTCATCTAATCACTTATAGCTTATTCTTCAGCTACTTCTGTGTCACTCTATGAAATAGAAGCTAAATTCTTCTATTTTATTAAGCAAATGGATCCCATTTTTATTATTAATTTAAATCTTGTTGAAACCAAATATTTTAATTAACTTATCCATCTTAGGTATTTAATGAGATTGAAAATTAAAATTTTGACTTTAAATTCATTTGAAAACTAATTACATCAAAAATAACTGATCTTCTACCCATCAATTATTTCAGTTTTTTTCATAAAATGAATCATTTAACCCATATATTCAAAACTCTCTAAATTACTACATCTCTTGGTTAGAAAATTTAATCAACTAAGAAATTTATATTACAATTATTTCGATATAAAATTCATCCTCATGTTAAATTTTACAATTAAATTAAACAATATTACTTATTTTAAATATATTTTATAGTAGTATTTGAATATAATTTATTTTATATACATATTTGTGAAATTGGTTTATGATAAAGGCTTATTAATAATTATATACTGATGAAGAAGAGAAGTATTTTTTATATAACAAGAATTTATTGGTAATGATGATAGTTAAATTCAAATAAAATATAATGAATTTGATGATTGTTATCATTTAGTTAATTTTTTGATATCATTTTAGAGCTATTTAACTTCTTTTCCATATTAATTAATAGATCGATCGGTTTATCTAATCATTCTACGTAATTATTTGAGATCATCAAAATCTTCATAGGAGATGGGATCAATTTCTACTTCTTCATCTGGTATGGTTTGTTACTTCTATTTGATTTGAGTACAAAATATATCCTGAGTTTTGTTAACTTTTTTTTGGCTGAGTCTTTATTTTGCTAATAATAATAAGTCAGATGATTAATTCATTATAATAATAACAATACTAAAACAATACAATTGAATATTTATTGAAATTAACAACTTTGACACTTAGATTCAACTTCATTCCACATGGAAGTATTCAATGATTCAATGAGACAATTGTATTTATTTAATTTAGTTAAATTAAATCCTTGAATACATTATCCCTATTCCCATGTACAAGGTTTAGCTCGTTTTAAATCATCAGTGAGTATGCTTTTACAATTGGTTTCAGAAGTATAATCAGAACATTCTCTTTCCATACAAGTAATATTATCAGAGATCCATTTACAATAGTTTGTTCTTTAATTACATTTATTTTCGAAACCTGAAAGATCAGCACAATCTTTGCTTTCTTCTCCAATACAATATTGATATTGTTAACACAAATTTTGATCATCATCTAATTCATTTTAGCATTATGTGAAGGTTCTCCAAGTGCATACAGCAGCTTCATAATTATTACACAAATCTTAATTGTTTAGAGTAAAACAAGTCATAAAACTTCCTCCTGATTTCGATAGATCATTAATACAATTATATTTTCCATTGCTTTATTATTCTTCATCATAAGTACAAAATTTAGTTTATGTACTTTTTGTAAAACAATCTTCTTTTTTTTCTACTTAATAGGATCCACATCCAGAGAATAGTTCACAAACTTCATTGTTATTCCAAACACATTCACCTGTGTTATCACAAATTTCTTTAGTCTTAATGTCAGAGCAAAATAATGCAGAACATTTAAAATTTGGAACATCTAAGGATAATGCAGTTTTATTCTTTAATGAAGTTTTAGCAAGATTAATAGTTTATTGTGATTAGTAGAATGATGAGATTTTACAATTAAATCTTAAACAATCATCTTTAGTTATCATCTATCCACATAAACATTGAATTGTAGATAATTATATGAAATCTTCTGCAGAGATAGTATATGTTATTAGATTAATAATTATAAATTATATCATTATTATTATATTGATATTTCATTTCCATTATTTTTAATTTGATTATTGATAACCTTGTCTTAAATTTTACTTACATAGAGTTTCAAATCATATTTATTTTTGATTCCAAAACTTCCCATTCCTAAATTCATAAAGAATTCTGGCCAAGCTTCCATAAATTTAATCAATTCACCTTCTAAATATTAAGCTCTCTATCCTGGATCCATTTATAATTATTCTTGATTCTCTTTGCTTAAAAATACATTCAAAAGTTCTCCAGAAAAGAAATAATCTAAACGTTCCACTAAAACATTAGCTGTCTATTAAATATCTGACTCTTCTTTATCTTTCTAACCACTTTCAATGAGAGTCTACAATACTTGAATCAAAGCAGCCTCATTGCCTTAAAAGAACTCTTCTGTCAAATAAGTAATATGATTATGACAATTCAATTTAATGAATCCTTTCTCTATCAAACTTGAAGTATCCAAATAAATTATTCTAAAGGATTATACAATATGTTCATAAACAATAACATCTTTAAATGGTTTAGGTGGTCTAGAATCATCAAAATTCTATCTAGGAGGTAATTCAATCACATTCCCTTAAGAAATACCTAAACATTAATCTTCAGCTAATTTGCTTTCATTCTTTGTCACTTCGACAAACATAGGATCCTAAGATTTTCTAGGTCCTCCTCTAGGTCCACCACCACCACCACTTTATTTATTCTCCTCTTATTTGGTTTCATATATCTTTACTATTATCTCACCTGCACCTCCAGGATAATCACGATAATCATTCTAATTTAAATCCCATGGTGGTCTATATACATTCCTCTTATATATATTTGTAGATTCAGGGTCTGTCTTTGGTCTTTAAAATTTGAAGCAATTTATATTCCCATCAGAATTCGTAAACCCTTAAACTTTACACTTACTTTTAAAAGTCTTCTTTCCTGGTAATGTATATCCATCTACTATCACTCTAATCCCATAAACTCCCTTGTCTTTGCATTCTACATTCAAAATGAAGTGTTGATCCACTTCCCCTATTACACAGATCCCTTCAGGTGTCATTATGTGTTTATACTCTAAAGGTTTTCCTTTACATTGTCTAAAAGGATCAACTAAAGTCAGTTCAAATGTCCCATCATTTGATAGTACCATTTTAATAATGAATATCAAGCATTAATTTCATCAAGCTTTTGTATGGGACTAATCTCTAATACTTCATAAAAAGTGAACTAAAATTAAGTTCTAATTTCATTTTTCTTTCTTCAATTAATATTATTACATTATAAAAAACAATAATAAAATTCATAACACACAACTTCAACAAACCTTTCAAAAATTGTGTATGATATTAATCTACAATTATCTATTTATACCTATCTTAATAGATATACTCAAAACTATTGATTAATCCATTAGATTAATTGCCAAACTTATTTAATTATAACCCAAAGAATTTTATTTATAAGCATTATATTCACAACCAAATAATATTACTTTTTTGAAAACTATTGGAGGGTTGCTTTAAGAATTCAAAATAGATTTGCCAGATTATTAGATAAGAATAGATTTGATGCTTTACAAATATTCCCGAATTTGATTATCTTCAATTCAAACATACTATGAAAGAATTTTCAAATAATTCTAAAGGATATGAAGGATAGAGTGATACAGCTTAAAAACCCAATTTTAAAGATCGTTATCAAATAATTCAAATTGAATTTCTAAATGTTCTTGCAAAAATTGCTTCAGCTCCTCCAATTATTAGCTATTATTTAGTGATATGGATAAGTAAAAATAGATATATATTGTAATATTTCAAATTTGGGTATAACTTTTAATAGGGCAATTGGATAATGATGTAGTTCAATTAATGTATTATAGAATTGATAGACAATTAAATAGTTATCTTAGATTTTCATTATAATGTTCATGTACGAGAGAAGAGTAATGGGCAGCTGAAAATTTAAGTAGTTTAATGAATTTGAATGAAGNGGTTTCATATATCTTTACTATTATCTCACCTGCACCTCCAGGATAATCACGATAATCATTCTAATTTAAATCCCATGGTGGTCTATATACATTCCTCTTATATATATTTGTAGATTCAGGGTCTGTCTTTGGTCTTTAAAATTTGAAGCAATTTATATTCCCATCAGAATTCGTAAACCCTTAAACTTTACACTTACTTTTAAAAGTCTTCTTTCCTGGTAATGTATATCCATCTACTATCACTCTAATCCCATAAACTCCCTTGTCTTTGCATTCTACATTCAAAATGAAGTGTTGATCCACTTCCCCTATTACACAGATCCCTTCAGGTGTCATTATGTGTTTATACTCTAAAGGTTTTCCTTTACATTGTCTAAAAGGATCAACTAAAGTCAGTTCAAATGTCCCATCATTTGATAGTACCATTTTAATAATGAATATCAAGCATTAATTTCATCAAGCTTTTGTATGGGACTAATCTCTAATACTTCATAAAAAGTGAACTAAAATTAAGTTCTAATTTCATTTTTCTTTCTTCAATTAATATTATTACATTATAAAAAACAATAATAAAATTCATAACACACAACTTCAACAAACCTTTCAAAAATTGTGTATGATATTAATCTACAATTATCTATTTATACCTATCTTAATAGATATACTCAAAACTATTGATTAATCCATTAGATTAATTGCCAAACTTATTTAATTATAACCCAAAGAATTTTATTTATAAGCATTATATTCACAACCAAATAATATTACTTTTTTGAAAACTATTGGAGGGTTGCTTTAAGAATTCAAAATAGATTTGCCAGATTATTAGATAAGAATAGATTTGATGCTTTACAAATATTCCCGAATTTGATTATCTTCAATTCAAACATACTATGAAAGAATTTTCAAATAATTCTAAAGGATATGAAGGATAGAGTGATACAGCTTAAAAACCCAATTTTAAAGATCGTTATCAAATAATTCAAATTGAATTTCTAAATGTTCTTGCAAAAATTGCTTCAGCTCCTCCAATTATTAGCTATTATTTAGTGATATGGATAAGTAAAAATAGATATATATTGTAATATTTCAAATTTGGGTATAACTTTTAATAGGGCAATTGGATAATGATGTAGTTCAATTAATGTATTATAGAATTGATAGACAATTAAATAGTTATCTTAGATTTTCATTATAATGTTCATGTACGAGAGAAGAGTAATGGGCAGCTGAAAATTTAAGTAGTTTAATGAATTTGAATGAAGCCTAAAATGAGTTGAAATGCTTCTACAAGTTTACATAATGAATTATAAGATGATTGTTTATATTAATTGGAGAATGTAAAAATTTTATAGAGTATTCTTTATGTATGAATAAAAGGAAGTATAGAGTATAGAATATAGAATTATATTAAGAGTGTAGAATTGGTGAAATATTTATAGAATGGAAAAGATTATTTAAAATTATTAATTTAGGTTTAATAAATTATAAAAATAATGATAATTTCAGAGAAAAGAGTATGGATGAATTGATAAATGAATTTTATGAATAATTGCAGGATGAAAATACATTAGAAAGAGAAGCAACAGAGTTTTATGAGCTATTTTAGATAGGAAACTAAAGGATTCTTAATTATTATAATATAGGTTGTTAATGAATAAATGGAACGAAATCACATAATATAATAGATGAATCTGAATCTAAGTGTTCAGCTTTAGAAGCATTATAAGAATTAGATTGAAGCTTTAGATTAATAAATATATATTGAATGGATTGATTATATAAATAATATAAATAATATCTGAGAATATTTTGTTAATGATTAAGTATATAGATAAAAGTAAAGTTGATAAGGAAGAATGATTTTAAATAATTAAATAATGATGAGATGTTTTTAAAAAGGATAGTTTAATAAAATGCAGAACATTATTATTAATATAAAATAAAATGTTCAAAATGATTTTGTTTATACTTATTGTTGGATGTTTAGGAAGTAGTGGATCATTTTATACAAAGAATTAATGCAGTTGTGATTAAATGTAATATGAGAGTGATTGTACAAATATGGGTCCAATGTGTACTTGGGATGGAAAATCATGTACAACATTAGAATGTAATAAGATAACTGATTCTAATGTTTGTGCTTCTAATTTAAAATGCATGTGGAAAGTAACTACATCAGGAGCTTCGTGCACTGATTTTACATACTGCAGTTAATTATCTGGATCTACTTAATTATAATGTTTAACATATTCTAACAATTGTCCATTTACTAATGGTAAATAGTGTGGTTCATATAATTAACTTTATACTTGTTCATCATTTAAGGAAAGTCAATATTGTGAAGGATATATATCATAATAAGGAATTTGTATGTGGAGGGATACTTGTACACCTGCTTAAATTTGTACAGTACTTAATTAAAATGAATGTGCATTGGCAGCATATGGGTGTAAATATTCTACTGCTGATGGTTGTACATAATTGCAATGTTCTGATTATCCAACTTAATAATCTTGTACCTTTGTTATGTTGACTATCTATAAAGGAGATTATTAATTATGTAGTTGGGATTCTAATGCCGGAAAATGCCAAGCTGCAACAAATCTAGGAGGATTAGGATAAGGAAATTGTTACTAATAAACTTTGGGTACTGCTAGATGGGTTTCTACTTCTGCTGGAGGAGAATGTCAACCTTGTTATGCTCACATTTTATTTGCTTTCATCGTAGTATTATTCATTATTATGATCTGATACTTATATGTTCATGATCGAATATTTATGGTTCATTATATATATATTATCAGTATTTATCAGTTTTTATCAGTTTTTTTCTATTCCACGATTACATTCATCTGTATTATCTAAATAAATTGTTTTCCTTTATTAATCAATCTTTATTCTAAACATCTATTCAATATTCAATTATCTTAACATTCTCTTATCTCTCCATTTGTTAGTTAAGTATAATTTATTACATCCTGTTTTAAACTAGAATCCCTATATAAACTATAAATTTATTTTTGAAAATTATTTATTTTATTTTGAAAAATTCAATCATTTCATTTGAAATAACATTTCTAAAAATAATAGAAATATAATCCATTCTATTTTACAAAATTTAAATTACATATCTATTTCAATATTTATCCAATCCAGTCTAAATTTTATCAATTTATTAAAAAATAGTATTTGATTTATATTTTTATAGTATAATATTTATATTATAAAATACAGCATTAAGAATATAAATATCTATTATTAATAATATGTTTTAAATAGATTATAAATAAAAAAAAAATTAGATTAATACAATTGTTTATTTATGGTTATTGAATATTTTTAAACTAATATCTTTATAAAATTGTTTTTAGTTTTCGTTTCTAAATTGTCTTAAATGATAAATAGTAATTCTTAAAAAACTAATTCTAAATTCTTTGCATCAAATACTTTTCAAGTTTTGAATTTGGAAACCTCAATCGATGAAATTTAAGTTTGAAATAACTTGATTTCCTAAAAATTTAAATGCAAAAATATTTATTATATAAAATATAAAGAAATAATTTTAGCTCATTTAGATTACATTTGTTTATCCCCATTTTACAGTTATAATTAATCGATCTGATTTCTTAAATTTGATTATCAAATTAATGATTTTTTCAACATAAATTATATCAAATTTTTCATCATCTATATATTTAGTCTTTTAAATTATTAATTCAACTTATTAATCTGTCTAATCTTTCAAAGCCTTAATCTATATCTAATTCTTAAATATTTTCTTATCCTTTTATAGATTTTGTTTATTTGAAGTTCTTAACAACATCATTAACTAGTTTTTTTTTAATTTCATTTCCTTCGCCTCCCTCAATTCAGCCATCAATTGATGATAAGAATCAAGTCCCCAGAAATATAAAATAACACCATCTTAAACTTTGTATTTCAAACAATTCTTTAAGCTTTACCACTAGTATATTTTTGAAAATTGAAAAAATTTAAAGAAAAGGAATGCAAAATTTTTTCTCTAATAATTATCCCAATGAAACCATCAACTGTTTCTTATACCACAATTCCTGTATCTTCATCTATTTTTTCTCCAAAAACAAATCCAATTGTTGCTCCTGCTATAAAACCTGTTTCCCTCCCATACTATCATTCGCACTAATTTTGGATACTCTCCTAAATTATCTATAGGGAAGGAAGATTTGTCTATAGTATTACTATTATTCATAATAATAAAATCCAAACTTTATTATTCTTTTTTTCTAACTCTAGTTATTTATATGGAATTTATTCTATGTATCAATTTTCATCTTATCAATAAATAAACCTCTAGATTTAATATTTAATGTCTCTTTTTAATACTATATTCAATTAAGGATTTTATAGTTTTTAAATTAACTATCTTATCCAAAAAGAAGAAGATTACCAGCTTTATCATAGAATTATAATTTCGATTTGATTTATCAATTTAATTAAAATATCTTAAGTTATTCTTGGTAAATGTTGTAATTTATCGAAATAATTCTATATTTTTGATTGTTTGACGTAAAAGTGGATTAAAAAAAAAGCTTGTACTTATATTAATAATAGCAATTTAATATAAACAAATTAATTTTAAGTTCATTTAAACAGAAAATTTATATTTTGAGAGATTCAAATCAATGAGCAAATATAAAATATTAATTGTAATTATTTAAAATACAATACTAAAAAGAATTAAATAAAACTCTATTAATGATGTTTATGATAGGGGGATTGATGTGATGGGTTTCTCAAAAAATATTCAGTTAATTGCTAATTTATAATCAAAAATGGAATTGAAGATTATCAATTTAAATATATTAGGCAATCCGTAATTAAAAGAATAATTTTTTGAATTTTGATATAAATTTTGAAAGAGGTAATAAATATATTTAAGAATTTGTTTTAAACTTCTTAATCCATATAATCAAAAAAACAGCATTATAATTAACAAATTTCCTAGAACTAATCTAAAAAATTTATAAGAATAGTTTAAAATTGGAGAAAAAAAAAGTACTAAAATTTGATAAAAACCATATAATATTAATTTAATGATTAATCAATATAGAGCAATTTTAAAACCAGAATAATAATATATTA